ATACATATGAAGATGCGAAATTATGTCATCATTTGAAATGAATAGCTGAACATTTTCAGGATAATCTTCGCATACAGTGTGCCAAAATGTAATTAATTCCTCAACAAAAAAGTTTGCCAAAGATGTTTTTAAAACAATATAATGCTTATATGCTTTTTTATGAAAGAGTCTCTGATTCGCAAACTAACACATTCGCTTCATCAAACGAGATAGAGAAGCCGTCAATCATTCCCAGAGATGTTTTTAGTTCCATTTGGGAAGAGAATATCTGCTTTCTTCAAGACAAAAATATTTTCGATCCAGGATATTTTCGACTAATGTGGCATGTGTTCAATTCTGTCAGGCTTGATGAAACCCCAACTATTATAGTAAATGGTCAAGAAATCGATTTAACTCTCCGTTCGATACAACTTGGGACAGAATTTATTCTTGGGACACTTGCACGTGCAAAGGAAAACAATAATCTTTCATCTTGGCTTGAAATGCTAAAAACACGATTTCAAACGCATTTACCTGCGTGCCAATGGTTCATTAACAGGATCATCGAACATAGTCCAAATTATTTGCAACAAATCCTTATGTCATGCTATGTGCAAGATGTTAGGGAGCAAATAGTTGACTTAATAATTTTTGTTCTAAAAACACTTCGTAATGGCAATTTGGAAGCTTATGGTTTGGAGGTTATCATTGATGACATTGACATTTCTGATTCAACTATGAATGTTGACTTGACTCATGCTCAAGTGTACCGCTATAATGACATGATTGTCAGACTATGTGAAGCGTTATTTAGTTTACTTCCAAATGCATATTTATGGTGGCGAAATTTCGAACAATACTTCTACTTACTTTCTTATATAGCTTCATCCGGTGTACCTGAGCGTGTTTATATGGTTAAACGTGGATTTGTTGGAGAGCTGATTCAATTGTTCCTTATGGATGAATTATCGCCTTTAAAGTCACGTAAACGAAGAATGGGTGATAAATTTTCACTACCACCTTTCCGATATTTATTGACTACATTACGTACATTGCTATTAGAATGTAGCATTGAACCTGAACACAACATTTCATTAATATCACGAACCCAAAGAATTCCAGCTCCTTTAAAATTGAGTGATCGTGAAATTGGATTGATCTTTGAGCGACACGAGCAAGAGGAATATTTCTTGTTTTTCATGAAACAAATCCGTGATGGTGTTGATAGCGAAGCATCTCGTGATATATTTAATCATTTTGCAACTAATAATCAAGCTTTATCAGATGAGCTTATAAACCAATTAATTCGCGCTGCTGATTCTTATAACGCAGAATATGTTCGACCTCATTTAGAAATCTTATATTCGATGGCTCAGATTCAAGATCAGTTTTCAAATCGCAGGATTGAACACATAGTTCAAGAAGTATTCAAGGTAATTTTATTAAATTGATAATTATTGTTCACGCTTAAATCTAATTCGTTGTGCTATTTTAAAGCTTGCGAAAACAAATCAATCGATACCACAATTCAGCTCTGAGTGCCTTGGGTTAATTGAAGCTCTCTGTACTTCTACAGTTGGTGTTTATGTCCAACATATGCTTATAACGCACTCGCATCAATGGATGCCGGAATATTTACTCAATGCATATGACGCTATCCGGCAGCGTGCTGAAGAACTTGCTAATATTTTAATTTTTCGCAAATTGGATGAGGCTAATGATGAACAGGCCTTGTATGAAGCAACTTTATGCATGAGAAAGCAATACGGAATGCTACTTAAAATTATGGATAATGTAGAGTTTTGTTGGAGGCAAACTTATCCTCGACGAGGCGGTAATTTGATTCTATCTACTTGTATTTGCTTGGATTATGTATAAACTTAAGCAAATTTAATCCTAATATTTATTAACTCAGCCGATCCTTTTGGATGGAGACTTAGTAATTATTTTAGAGTCTTGACGAAATTTGTGAGATCGTCTCAAGAAAAATTAATGGTTAGACTGTACAGTTATTCGTGTGCTCCTTTGTTTTTTATTCATTTTTTTTATTTAATGTATTTACATTTTTTTATTACAAACATATAGTTTCAGCCTTATATGGAAAAATTGGGCACAATCTTTATTCATGTGGATCAAGTTAGAATTGATTCCGATATTGATAAAAAGGTATGGTTTTATTTCGCGTAATTTATAGTCAACTATTAAATTCTGACTTGTTTTGTTTAGGAATTAATTACATTTTGGCACGCTGTATGCGAAGATTATCCTGAAAATGTTCAGCTATTCATTTCAAATGATGACATAATTTCGCATCTTCATATGTAT